ACATTAAACATAATATTATTGCAGTGTTTTTCGATTGATATAATATAAAACCAATCTTTAAAATATTAGTGATTTTATATACGACGAAAAATGCCTAAAAAGAATCCAAAAACACAGTTTCAAATTCCAAAATTGTTACAATAATAATATTGTTACTATTGTACACTTTCTTACTCTTATAAGAAAAAACGTTCAACTGTGGGATCATTTATTTTCATTAAAAATTTCAATATTCATTTTTAACCTTTTAGATACCTTTTACTAAATTTTACATTTAATATTTTTTTAGTGAATACAGCCTAACTGATAACGCAATGCAAATTATTGTGATGATAATGTGGGCTATGATATCGCCGTATCAGTTATAATTTTCTATAAGCAGGAAAACCACAAAAAATTAGAAATTATCATAATTACAATATATTCCTACTATCTATGGTAAAAAAATAAAAACAAAATCATAATTGTATTTATCTTCCTCGTTGACAGAAACCACTTTTGAGACTATTGAAAATCTACTTCCATCATAATTTTCATGAAATTTCGGGGAGGGGGAGTTAACCTCACTAAAACCTCCTTTGTACACGCACCTGCGTCATCGACACCCCGCATCCCGTTGACCGCGATATCGGTACGGTAGACTTCATTTTTGAAGTGATGTATAAATGCACGCATTATAATACACTTACGGCGCGGTTAATTAATCTTTTTTAGAGTGCGTTTAGCGGCGTATTATTCAACGGGAAAACACGACGAATAGACGTGATAATATGATTAATAGGAGACTCCGTATAATGATAGTAATAATATGTTGCAGTCATGTCATACCGTTTAACGGACGGGAAAAAAAAAAAAAAAAACGAACCGACGTTCGAATCGTTCAGGGGTGAAGTCGTATTATTGTCGAACAACGAAAATGTGCCGAGTAACCGAGAGGGGCGGGGGTGAACGCGTACACAGAATGAATTTAATCGTTCGCGACGTTCTCTGTACGAATAACTGATCCACAATCGTATTGTTATCGGCGAGTACATGACAACCATAATAAACCGGTTTTCAAAAAGCTCGCGCACCCATTATGATAACACGCAACAAAAATACTCGGGGTAGTGACACTAGGACTACTTTCGGTTAAAAACCTCACTCTATACTTCTTCCGCGTAAACAAACAGTTCGTTGTAATTGACTAACGAAAACACTTATACGGTTCATACATTGGATCCACGCGCTTTTCAGGTTATCACGATAATATTATATTTATATTTATGTTTTTTTTTTTATTTGTCACCCTTATTTTCGGGGGCGAAACCACTGCCTAATTTCGATTTTCAAATGGCTAACCTATGTTGAAATGCTCATAAATAGATGGGATACATTAGTTAAAATAAATGTTCGTTTTGACATTTTTGATTTTCGTCAAGCCGTTGACGAGATATATTCCAATTTTAAGTTTGGGTTGGAGGAGAATAGTAGAGTATCATTCGTGCGGCGGTACGGCACGCTGGCGTGTTAATACTGCACCACTACTCTCCTCCAACCCAAACTTAAAAGTTAAAAGAAATGAAAGCAAATTCCGAAAAAGTGAATACTTTCCAAGATAATGAGTGCACCCACTTAAACGGATCACCTGGTAGACAGCCCGGGAACCAATCCGGTGATTGAGAACCAACTCGTAATAGTCCATAATATCAATGTTATGGACTTATAATACAAATTGTCAGTGTTAATATTATTTAGACGTTTTTCTGTCACACAACAAAGGTAATGTATCGGTAAAACTGTGACGCCATTGTGTTTGTTAAGATTTGTCTTCGATTTGTACGATTTTCATAGCGATTTTTTTCGCTTTATTTTATGCGTTGTTTCTTTTTTATGTTTTACAGGGCTAACCGAACATTCAAAATCTGTGTAACTAACAAATGATTAATGATTATTATTATATTGGTTGTACGTTATAAGGCACAGATAAATTGGTAGGCGGATGTAATTAATAATAATAATTATTGAGTTCCGAACATATCAATAGAGTGGGTCATCTTCAAGTCCTGATAAGACGGGAGTTTAATTGTTAGACGAAACAATTTCATTTAAAATATGTTTGTAAGGCAATTAAATAAAATATTAATCAACAACAAAAACCATAATAAAATATAATTAACTGAAAAAATAATTTTTTTCTAACGGGAATTTCGAAAAAATGTTTTTTTTTTCTAAACCACGTCGGGTAGGTAACAGGGAAAAAACAAATGCAACAAATTAACATTACTATGTAATTATCGTTATATTCAATATATATTTATTTTACTATAATACGGCATACCTAATTTATATGTGTTGTTGAAAAAGCAATACTATTAACCAAGCTCCGCTCAGAATCTTTTTTCGTTGGCAATGATTAATATTCTACATATTATATTATTATTTTATATTATATTATACATTATAACCTCTATTTCCAATCTTCCTAACTTCTCATCTACTACATTGATCCACCCATTGTACGAAGTATATCCGTGTTTTTCTCTTCTCTATCATATATTATGCTAAATCTTCATGACCTCCTTTCCGCAGTTTTACCAAATCTTTCACGGCAATATCCTTCAACCGCGTACTTCTACCTACTTCCCTAGAAGTTGTTTACCTTTCATTTCTACCACCAGTACCCGTTTAATAATTTGTCCATCCGTCCTCTGCGCGGTATGTGTAACTTAATCGTCCAATTATTCTTCTACCTGCAGCATATGTGAGGATATTCTAGCCTTTCTGCATAGATAGTAACTGCATTTCAATTATTTTTTTCACATCACTCCGATTATCCATGCAATATAAAGGACCATACATTTGTATTCACGTTTTTCTCTTAAAGACAATTTAAACTCTGACGATTGTCTTTTTTCCATGTTAGTTGCCGTAATTGGCCGTAATAGTAGCGTATATTGTATACCTACAGGGTATGAATTTTTTATTATAAATAATTTACCTATAAAGAATTACGGGTTAATAATAATATAACAGTCCGTGATAATAATATTGTTTGATTATTATTATTATTATTTTTTTTTTTTTCGAATAATACCATTACGATATTTTTAAGCAACCGTTTGATTATCACGAGAATCTACTGCATATTTACATAATAATAATACTCTTATTATATACCTAATTAATATTCGGGATTCGAAAATAATTGAGCCGTGTCCGCAGTTTTAATTGAAATATTCACCCCTCCCGCCGAATATACTTACGCCCCTGATGCGTATCGCGGTACGTACAAAATAGTATTATTATATTAAACTACACGGGACACCTATACAATTAATATGTAAATATTGCTGTTGTTAAGGGGGACCAAAACAGAACAAACCGTAGTGGATTTAATCTGTGTATAGGATTACCTACTACGTCGGGACGACGGTGACGATCGTTGACGTATAGACGTTTCGTCTTTTGGGCACCGGGCATACACGTATGCATTATAATAATAATAATAATGATAATATTATTAACCTCTCCCCTATCTCCTCAACTGATATCATCGGATTTTACGATATCCAAAGCCACGGAGACGGGTGAATGCGATTTAATTACACGGCCGATCGTCGATTACGCACGCACGTATATTATATCGTTACAATACCGAACGGGAGACGTAATTAATTAAATAAACGACGAAGACCGATCGTACGTGTTATACAGGGTGATTATTTTATCATCACGCATCGGCGATTACGCGTGTATGTACGTAGGGAGATTTTGAGTAAATTTGATTTCGGTTTTTTCCCAGTATCATAAAATTGTATATATAGAATGGGTTTTTAATACATTCCTTATAGTATAGATAATTTATACTTACGATACATTTTTATACCCACCATAAACATGTCATAATAATAGTTCACAATCAATTTAGACAAAAAAAAAAAAAATCACTCTTTCAACTAGATATCTTCCCGTAGAACGTACTAAAAGTGAGACCTACCTATACCTCCTGCAGTGCGTAGCATTCCAGCCACAAAAAAAAAAGGGTGAAATCTGCCCTCAAGGTTAATTATTTCCTTATAGTTTTTCCCTATTTAACTTACCACCAAAATGTACAAAACAAAAATTAAATACATCAACTAACAATTTTAAACGGACGTACGTGGCGAAAAGAAACTATTTTTATAGATCCTTAGATGATTTTGTATTAGTTTTTCGGTTTTTTTCTATTTACGACTCGCAAAAGACTTGCTCAAAAAACTTTTTTAAGCACAGGATTTTAGCACTTGCATGATGTATAAGATTATTTTTTAAAAGTCCTCATGTTTTTTTCCTAATAATAACGGGGAAATTAAAAAACACTGGTTTTTTCGAAATAATATATATATTTTTTTTTAATTCAATAAGAAATAACCATAGAAGTCTGATATTTATACCTTTTTTTGTATAGTATTTTCTCAAACTGTGGAAATATAATTTCCAAAACATGTCGACTATAATTAATAGCGAATAAAAAAAGTCAAGGGTGAGAGATATGACATCCCCATCTCTTTCTCGCCCCCGATCAACAATTATCCGCCAAATCTAAACACGAAAACCTTTTAATTGGTACTCCGCTGTCTTAAAATTTCAAACCGAGACTCCGGCAATCATAATAATATTCTCTATTCGAATTCGGGCAAACGCGATAACGCAAATACGAGACCATTAAACGACGAGCACTCGACGAGTCTTGCAGAACAATAACAGGATACTTTAGAGTAACAAAGGTACATAAACTTCATACTCTAAGTGGTATAGCAATCCCAGATGTACGTAGAGCGACCATGCCAGAAATTGAAAGATACGAAATACGTAATCACGACTCGAGGCGTCCACTAGTACGAGTACGAAGCTACAGCAGAGCGCCTCAAATCGAGACAGAGTTTCACGCACGGCAAAAATGGAGATTGCCTGATTAAAAAACAAGAAAGACAGGAGACGCGGAAAGAAATAAATTAATGACGAGCCGTTGAACCGATATGGCTAACGCGAGCGATAGAAAGCCTACCGCCGCCAGCACAAAACTTAAAGTCCGAGACACGGGAAACACCCGGCCGGCTGAGAAACCTAGTAAAATGGAAAAAAAGAAGACGGCGAACTCGGCGAATGTGATAGCGTCCAGGACGAAAAACACTTATGGACATGTCCCAATGACGGAGGCTCGATGCAAACGGACGGACATTTCTTCCGACCCAATAACGACGCGGTCACAAAAGTGATCAATTACTGGACAAAAAGAGAAACATTTGAGCTGACTGACTAACTAACCGTAGTGTGCGTGGTATGAAATCGACGGAACAAGAAACTCGAAATTAAATTCACCAGACGTCTTCGCGCGTTGATTAATCGCGTTTGCGTCGTGCGATAAACGAAACGCTCCTACCCCTCCCCCCCTCCCCCTCGTATACGCGTTTTGTTTTATAAATTATAATATGAAATTATAAAATATATTAAAAAAAAAAAAATATATATACATATATAGCGTATAATAATAATAATAATAATAATAACGATAAAACGGTTGTCGCGAGAAAGGAATTTATCGTGGCGACCGGGCGGCAGTGGCGGCGGTGCAGATGACGACGGACCTACACGCGCACTAACAGCAGCAGCAGCCAGCGTCCGTGAGCTCACACAATGAAGTTATCAAGATCGTATAGTCGATGCAAATGCGGTCGTCGTCGTCGTCGGATACGCGCGCGTTTAATTAGCTGACAGTGATGTATAATATTGAATATTATAATACAAGTATATACAATAATAATAACAACACGGAAGGTAGAAAAAAAAAAAAAATAATAATAATAATAATAAAAAAAACAAAACAAAACCCCCGTCGAAAACGCGTTTATAAGGAAGGTGTCTGCGGCGCGGCGGGCGTGTGTGGGCTCCCGTACGACTGGTTATGTGCCGAGAGGTAGGTAATAGGTATCTCCGATGTGCTTCGAGAGATTTCGTTTGTTTGGTGTTTTTTTTTTTTTTTTCCACGCATATTTCTCCTATACCTAATATGCCTGAACGTTATCGTTATATTAAACGTGTGCGTGTTACAAAACGCGTATTTATATGCACGGCAGCCCCGAAAAAAAAAAATCCGGTAACCGTCGTCGCCGCCGAGCATAATACCTATACACACATTATTATTATCGACGGCTAATTAGAGAACGTTGCTACCTACTATGCTGTTGCTGTTGCTGTTGCTGCCGTTGCTGCTGCTGTTGCCGGTGCTGCTGTGCCGCCGCGTACATTTCTCGTCGACCGCGCGCGGGCATTATCGCGGCGGTCGACAGTTGGGTTTTCGTCCGTATCTACGGGTTTCGTGTGGTTTTTTTTTTTTTCTCCCGCACGATAACGCGTCCCGTTCGGAAAAATAATATCTCGTTTATCGGGCGGCGACACGCGAACGAGACGAAACATCTCGTACGTGTGGGGGGGGGGGGGTTAAGAGGGGGGGGGACAAATGCCAATGCCGTCTCTCGGTCCGAATAAATTACTAAACGCGCGCCCGTGCGACAATACCAAATTGTTTTTAATTTACTCGTTTTTAGAACCACCGAGAAATCGGTCATTAAAAAAAAAAAAAAAAATAATAATAATAATATTGTAATCACAATAATAATTGGACGGCCGGGCCGCCGGTTTTTCAAGAGAACCGCAGCGCCTTATACACGCGACAGTTTCCGTTTTCGTAGTCGGCTATTTATATTTTACTATCGTAATTTCTTTTATTTTTTTCCATTAGTATTCGAATTCGACCATTTCAGGCCATTTTAGATTCTGAGCGGAATATTGGTTTCACAATGGTGTTAATTTATTCATTTTTTTTATTTTCTGTGACCGACTTTTCTACCGGCAATTTTGTTCCGATTTACAATGATAGCACATTTTCTAAAAGGAAATCTGGCTGTGGAGTTGCTTAAAGGAGGTCAATTTTCGATAAACGGGGAAATAGTTACAATATTAAACAAACATTATTAAAGAAAATGTGTAATTATTTGATTGTAATGTGAAATAAATATATTGTCGACAAAGCAACACTATCAACCGAACACCGCTCATAATCGTTTTTTTCGTTAGCAATGGTTGATCGTTGCTTACAGATGCACATTAAATCACCTATAATAGCGGCCGCACCCATACCCATACCCCGTGCCCATTATTTCGGGACAGCTTTTTATTTTCGTTTTGCGTATTAATGTCATCAATATCGTTTAGTCGCTATTCCATTCGTTTAACGTTTCAACTGGCTTTAAAACATTAAACGTATAATAGTTATACTCACGTATTGTAACGTGGCGGCGGATGGCAGGGTAAAATAATGAACGGGGGTCGACGAGGAATTCCACGTTTCTCGCAGTCAATCGCAAATAGGCAGCAGGTCAGATAAGTTTCGATGAAAACTATTGCAAGTACAGCGTAATTTTTTAGCGTCAAAACGCGAGGAATCTACGCAATTCTACGGTAAGTTTTTCAATTTATTTATAAAAATTTATTTTGAATGTACAACTCAATACCCACTAGTTCTTAGAAGACCCTTTACATTAGTGTTGGTTAACGACAAACGTTGCGTGCAAAGAGAAAAATGACGAATTCTCAAAGAAAAAAAAATGACGACAATTAATTTTTAATTCGTCATCTTACAGCCCAAGTGGTTTTTTTTTTTTTAAATATTTGTTTACTACAGACAATTCATTACTTTTAATATTGTTTTTATATTTTAAGTGAAATGTTTTGTTTTCCTATACCTAAAATTAAAAATATGTAACTTTTTTACTTACATTAACTTTATTTCAGCAAATTTATCTGGGGTTTCAACCGTCCAATAAAAGTTTGATTAATTTAAACTCGTTTCTATCATGTCGTATCTTTTTTCACCAAATTAAACTGAATTGTTCAATCACTCGGGAACTATGAACCGTACGTCTTACCGTGTCCCACTGTACACTGTGTTAACCGAATCAAAATGTATCGAATTTATTTATTTTTTGATTGAAGCTATTAATATTGTTAATAAAGAATTTTTTTTTTTTTGTTTTGTTTCGAATGTTTTTAACATAGCCGAAAACACTGCCCGAGGCACAGTCATTTCCGAGTCGGCCCGGTAAAATTAGTTGACAGAAACTGTCGAACATCGTCACCTGCACGTGGTAGCGAGAATTAATCCGCACACAACTACGGTGGTTGGGTGTTCGACGACGACCTATAGAATCATAATTGTCGGATTTTCCCTAGACACGAGCGGAACGATAAAATTATCAATTATTAATTGTCCGGGTTTCGAAATAGTATAAGCAAAGTGTACTCGGCCAGTGAAATAGTTATTATCGCACCAATTACCGTCAAATTAAACGGTAAAGAATTGCACAATCGTATTCATTTTACGTGATCCACGAGAACGGTAATGCACAGATATCGCGTTATTACCTATAGCGTGATTAGTCCGAATTCTCGGAAAACCGCAACGACGGTTATTGCTCACTTATTACCAATACTAATAATATAATTATTATTAACCGTTTCCGATAGTACTGGTCTATCGGCACGTCTTAATTGGTATGAATATATTTTTTTATTTTTTTATTTTCACAAACAATCTCTTTATTAATCATTTCTACCCGATCGTTCCTCGGCGTTCTGTATTGAAAAAAAAAAAAATAAATATATATGTCGATAATCGATATCGTAGTTTCGAAGATGTGGAAAACCGTTTGTTCGGACGTTGTTCGACATTAAACCTGCACAACATACACAATTCATAAACGCACAGGTAATGTTCTATTGAACGCAAACATCGAGAACGTTGCACTCCCAAAAACAAATGAACCTTCGGACAGGTGAAAACGTAGGATTTAATATATTGGATAATTTGTTTTAGATCCTGTAAAGGATAAACCGTTACAATCGTTATACAGATGCAGGAGCCCACGAGCGGTTAAACGTTATACATTCTTTTTTGTTTTTTACGCTAAATTTAAATCGAATAATATTGTATTGTTTTTTTCACGAAATTCCCAAGATTGAACTTTAAACGTTTAAAAAAAAAAAAGTGTGCCATTTTCACGATAATCTATAGCTGGGCGATAATATAATTATTACATTTGATTTTACTACTAAATAAACGTAACATATCATATACTATATAGCAAGTCCGTGTACAGGGAAGGTTTAGGGCAGTGTTTCCCAAAGTGGGTGATATCACCCCCCTGGGGGCACTAGAGCTATCCAGGGGGGCGATGGAAGTTACAAGCTTAATTAGAGAGCATTGACTTACAAAAAGGGTAGGTCACTGTATTTATTTTTTTCAACAACATTATGTATAATTTAGTTTGTAAGTAGTACAAATTATTGTACCTGTATATTTTGTATTTTTTAAATTTAGAATAATCGTTTATAATATAAACTTTATATGTTGACAAATAAATCCATCATTATCGCAATAAATGTAACATAGTACATTATTTCTACTTCTATATTATTTGAATGTTATCCGTATTGCGGTATTGGTAATTTAGTATACTTGCGGATGCCGATCTTGTTCGTTGTCGTTGTTATTATTTTTATAGGTGTGGTTTTAGGATCATTTTTTATTCGTACGTATACCTATACTATATAATAATAAAACGTAATACTTATTTATAAACAATACATTAATTTTCCATTGCATATAATGTATACTTTTGTACCTATATACTTTTTTCTTTAAGGGGGCGTCTGTCAGATTTTTTTTTTGAAGTGGGCGGTAAAGATAAAAAGTTTGGGAACCACTGGTTCAGGGGTTCAACAATCCTCCGAAAAATTAATCCTGAATTCGTGCTTGTTATATTGCGAGTTATATTATCGCTATCTTATGCGATTTGTTCCGAATTGAACTGAAGTATAGATAATAGGCATCAGATAAACATTTAACAGTGTGACTTATAATGTATATAGTATACACTAATTATAACACGAGTGTGTTTTCATTTCAGTACCTAATAAAATTGTACTATGGTCTATTGAGTGCAAGGTTGTGAAAAAGGATAAAAATCGTTGAAAAAAAAAAACACGTTGCAGCTGAACGTGGTGTTCAAATAGCGCAGTCTGTTGTTCGTCCGGCACCGTCACCTATTAATTAATGTTTTGTGTTATAAATGTTAGTTTTTTTTTTTTTTGCATTTTGTTTGGAAAAAAAATAGTAAAAAAATTTAACAAAAGTACCATGATGTTTGCAGATATGATA